CACACACACACACACACACACACACACACACAGACACACACAGACACACTCTATGGCCCTGCAGTACGGGTTCTTCTCATATTGTCCACCTCACCAATACAAACATAGAGGTTGCTTGAACAAACACTGTTCAAAATTTCACTATCACCACTCACCATTTTCAATAAAAGGATGTGACATTCTTTCAACAACTCTCTTCGGCTGTCTTTGATTGCAAACACTTAGCAACACTAGCTAAAACTACATCAGCGACTACTACATCCGCGACCTGCAACCATTGGACAGTACTAGCTATCAATCACAGCGTATCCACACCCCAGTGCATGCTGGGTTATGAAGAAGACTTGGAAGAACATCAATTAAATGAAATCAATGAAAATGTTTTCTGACTCAAATCAGGTGAGAAGAAGGGTCATTTTATCAGACTTCTATAGAAAGAAACTTCTTTTTGCGACCAGTGGAGTCGCCATCTGTTGGAGAAAACTATGACTGTGACCAGTGTCACGGGAACGGCAGAGTATTCAGTTCAATTCAAAAACTGATGACAACTTTATAAATCTTAAAAAACATGAACGTTTTCTCACAGAGCCAGAGTTATCTTCACTTAGTTTTAGCCCTGTACCAGCACTAGAGACTCTAACTGATATAAACTGTATTTTATAGACAATCTATGATGACAGTTTGACATTAGTTACCTCATTTATCATCGTAATGTCAATCAATCACATTCAGTCTCGTATATGTCATGTCACTGTTTGGGCCCATCCCCAAGATGCTTGGTCATGCCTACAGTGGGAGCACGCTAACTTGTTTGTGAACATGATGCTGAGTGCAGTTCACGTAATGGCCACCAGTGTTATTAATAACGAGATTTCTGTCCTATCTGCAGCAGAGACGGAGGAAGAAAGCTGCTTGCTGTCATTTAAATGTAAATGGATTATGACAAATAAGATGGTACAGAGAATAAAAGTGCCAATTTTCTACAGCTGGAAACACACAGCCATAATAATGTAACCCGCATTTAGACACACTGAATACATACTACACATTGAAGTATATTAATGATTATAACAACAATCAAAAATATTTCATATAGATGTGTGTTTTGATGGCTTTAAAGTCTGCCACCACACTATTTTGCTGTAAAAACAATATAACTCTCACACCATTATTTAGACACATGGATATTTGGGACACAGGAAGACGCTAGATGAAAAGCTCTTGTGGGATTTGATACTTATGGGGGCACATGAGCCCAACAGCTTAACAGCTGAAGAAATACTCCTCAGGTTGTTCAGGGACATTCAAAAAACACTCAACAGACAGTCATCTAGGTAGCAGGATTTATTTTTGCTTTATGGCTCCATGTTTCATGACATTTTACTAGTTTCAGTATAAAGTGTCATGTGCAGCAACTCATGTCAGAAAATTTGAAACACAGTATTTCTTAAAGTTAAATTTCACGAGTTCAGTGTTTACTACGATCAGTTTACATCCTGCCTGACATACTTTCACAGGAGGCACTTGTAGTGAACAGAGCACATGTTGGTGCATGCAGCGCTTGGTAAGAAGGCTACAGATTTATAGGCACATAAAAAATCTTTTACTTACCCAACATTGGGGAGGCCAACAATTCCTATTTTCAATGAGGTGCCAAATCTTCCAATCAGTGGTGGAGGCGTCGCTGAATCTCCTTTTCCCTAATAAAGACAGCGTGGAGACGTCTTGTAGTCAGAACCAGCACTTGCCATTACATAATCTACAGTGCATTCTAATTTTTTTTTTTTTTTTTTGAATGGAGCTCTCCCTTAACTAAACGCACCTTCTTTGGAGCCATTTCTCACACTTGAGATTTTTTGGTTTTTTTGCTGACTTCCACCACAGCTCACAGGCTCGGAGGGATAAACACACACGCGCTCATTGACAGAAAATGGGCTAAGTCCTTAAATGCAACCAGTCGACTGCACTTCGACTTGTTCGCTCCCCCTGAGCTCAGAATAGAACATGCAGACTCTGGAAATGAAAGTCGACACTGTAAGCTGGCGTGCTGACCTGTGCTGCCAAATTTAGCTGTCGATACTATCAATGCAGGTTGATGAGCTGCTGTAAGATTTTGCAGAGGACTTGAAAGGTGGGGGCTCTGAAAGTGGAGTCAATCTTTATCACAGGCTTTGACAACAGCTGCTTTCTTTCTATTAACATTTGAATCATGTGCCTGACAGTCGTTTAACTTCAGACATCCAGGACTTGAATCTGTGTGCTGACAGCGCCAAGCAGTTTTGTCACTTCCCCTACGCTTCCTATAGAAATTAATCATAATTCCTGAGCAGTTTATTTCAGGCTGCTTTAATGTAACAATATGTTGATTCAATATTCTTTTGCTGTGACCTCTGCAGGCATGAAAGAAACCATGATCTGCCCAAGTGCAGGTAATAGACTCTGACACTCAGACATTGTCATTTAAAGCCAACCAGGAGAAAACAGAGGATAAATACTGTTTTCAGCATTGTTTGTATTTTAAAATGCACCATCACAACCTAAATATAAGATATCATTGGTTAAAGCATCTCGACAAAATCTTGATACTTGCACTGACTTTTTAAATTCAATAAGCATCCTCTGTATGTCCTCAGACAAACAGCTTAAGCACCGGAGAAATAAAGTACAACATCCTTGCACTTTCCTCCAACCCCCTTTTGAGAGAAACAGGTGTAACCACACGAGCACACAAAATTACAACAATTAGTTAAATGTCCTCAAATAAACTTCCCTTAGTAGAAATACAAATTAAAACACACAGGGGCACAACCAAAAACCATCACCCAATCCGGCAGCCTGTCTGGTTTAACATGCAGAAAATGAGCCTCTAATAATCTGGATTTGAGGCGAGTGGGGCTCTGCTTTGTCGGGAGAATTCAAATGAATGGGTCTGAATTAATCATTTATCTTTTGTTGATGGATGCACCCCCACTTAGACTCATCACAATAGGTGCAGAGCGTTTTGTTCGACCATATAAATCATTCCCATTGTTTAAGGTACATTGATCAATCTAATGGCTTGTAATAGGCTCCTAATTGCCACAGAGAAGTGGCTCACGAATGGAGTCCGGAATTACAGATTCGACTGAAAATTCTCACTTGAATGACAAGGCAAGATCATGTTCTCCCTCCCTTTGTCTCAGGAAAACATTTGAAAATGCTCGATTATCTTATTATTCTGGGTTCATGCAACAAATACATTTCCTCACAAATACATTTTTATTTAAAAAGACATGTAAGTGAGTTGTTGCATAAATGTTAAATGTAGTTTTCTTTGTTAGAACTTAAGGGCATCATTATTCCAAGCTGAACTGCTGATTATTGAAATGTAAAAACAATACAAGAATATTAACATCTGAAAAAATTATATATATATATATCTATAAATATATATAGATATATATAAATAGTATATATTAAATATGAATTTCAACTAAATACAATTTTGATATTATGTTTTACTAATAACAATTCTGTGAACTTAATTGAAAGGTAATTCAATTTTTGGAAAATACAGATGACAGTTTTTATTTTTGCCTTGATTTCCATTTAAGGCATGAATTAATTTAACTTCTTTAGCGACAATCAACTTTGTTTATCCAGCGCCCACATTTAATACCGTTAACAGCACTCTGCCAAATTGTCATGATTGCAAAGATGATTCCATTTTCTTGGCAGCGCTCAGTGTTTGATGAGAAGGGTTTTTTATTCACCCTTGCAAAAAGGTGGGGTTTTAACGCAAAAAGGGGAAAAAAGGGTGTTTGAACAAATTGCGCCTGTGTTGACTGGCACCATTCACACTCCATAATGGAGCATTATTTGCCCGTTTTGAATATTGTAATGCGCATCTTTCGGTCAAGCCTTTCTCTGGAAAATTGCTTTAACTTTTAAAGGGGATGATGATTCACATCGGAGCAGGTCAATTTTACATTACGCCATTTATCCCGCCGAGCATTTAACAAGCTGTGGCATATGCTGCCTTAGACCATTGGATGGTGATAATAAAAGACAAAAATATATATAGAATAAGAGTAGCGAGTTTTAGGGAGAACTGGTGATACACGGCACCCTCTAATCTGTCCACTGTTTAATTACATGCGTGATAATGTTGGCATTCAATTTTTATTCCTCAGCTACAGGACGGGCATCCTGCTTCCTGTTAAATGTTTTTTATGGTGATGACTGGCGGCCTTGGGCAGCGGGCAACCCCTGGATACTACAACTTTTTCCGCCTATAAAATACTTGTGTTATGGGGGAGATCTGCTGTGCGCACTGATAAAGCAAGCTGTCATTTTTAATTAACCCCTCACCTTCACTCCTCCAACAAGTAAGCAGGGGGGAGAGAGCACGAGCATGGACGCGAGAGGAATTTTGGCTGGAAGTAAACTATCGTCAATTTTCCTCATGTAATCACTGACAAATCGTTTTTATTCAGACAATGATTAAATAATATAACCGTGGCAAAACAGCGACGTCTGTGCTTTCAGGCCTGATTCTCGACTTCTTCAATAAACTACTACATCTGACATGTTTTTATTCTAATATAAGCACAAGGATTTTCAATCTTTAAGCTTGAGCATATCACACATTACGTGCGTAAAATGTGCCATATAGCGCGCAGCAGCATGCCCTGACAACAGGCGCGTTTTTATAAAGTCATCAGCACAAGCAGCGTCTCTCGCATCGTCCAGGATTCTCTGCATTTAATGGCAACAGTTTCTCTCGTGACGTGTTGCGCATGATCTGAATATTGAAAAATCTGAAGGGAAACCTGCGGCTGCACGGACGAGATGTGTCGCTGTGCCATAATCCACAAACGCAGTGAAATGAGTGAAACGCTTACCTCGTGGAGAACTGGCGTGTGAACTCAATTCTGCAAATGAAAAGGAGACATTGAGGCTTCGTGTGAGAAAACATAAAAAATAACTGTGTGCATTAAAAAAAACATACCAAATCGTGTCTTGTATGACAGTCGGAGCAGGAGCTGCACAACAGATGATTGACGGCGGGGCTTTTGGTGTTTCTGTCTGCGGTCGAGTCTCTCATTGGCTGACTCCATCCCCGGTCACCAATGCAGCGCTTGGATTGGCTGCGCGTCCTCGCCAGCTGTACTTCAAAGAACACGCTCTCTACAACTAGGTAGTGTCGAGAGCTGCGAGCCAAGAGAGAAACCGTGTGACCCGCGTCGGACACGGTGAGTCTGGAGTCACATTGGAGCCGTATATCTACAGCACAGACACCACGAACACTCTCACCACAGCACAGACCCTGGATATGGCTACGTCTATACTTGGGGTGAGTCCGACTTTGTGATTGTGCGCTGAAGTTGTGCGTAAAGTTGTTGTGGTCGACATTTCCACGAAGTTTGGAGTTCAGAGTTTCTACTGCGTCTCTTGTTTCGGTTGTTTTTACTATTGAAAGTCAAATCTACTGCCTGATCACTCTGTTGCAGCTGAGGAATGAGTTTATTAAAATCGTATTTAGAGCGTTTTGTTTTGTGTTTTACGCAGCGTAAAACAGATCATTTAACGTGGCCTAATTCGCCTTCTCTTTCTCCAAACACATTGACTGCACTTCAAATTACAATTTTAAGAATTAAAATTGTTATAATCGATTTGTTGGAGTTGTGTTTTGTTGTAAATCACTCTCAGCTATGCGGGTCAAAGCAGAATCTTACAGCCACATGTGTTGTTGCCTATTCTAAGTCCAACTTTTTCTGTATTTTCTTCAGGAAGAACCACGGTTTGGAACTACACCTCTAGCGATGCTGGCTGCAACCTGCAACAAAATCGGCAACACCAGTCCTCTCACAACTCTACCTGACTCAAGCGCTTTCTCAAAAGGTGGATTTCATCCGTGGAAAAGAACCTCCTCCAGCTGCAACTTGGGATCCAGTCTGCCCGGTTTCGCGGTGGCAACAAGCCGCGCGTCAACAGGACTAACACCGACCAGTGGCACCGGTAACAGCGCTTTTTGCTTAGCCTCCACCTCCCCGACCTCGTCCGCGTTTTCCACAGAGTACAGCGGTCTGTTTTCCAACTCTGCGAGCGTCACGACGCAAGAGTCGGGACAGTCGGCGTTTATCTCCAAAGTCCACACATCAGCAGAGACTCTGTACCCGCGGGTGGGCATGGCGCACCCGTACGAATCGTGGTATAAGTCCGGTTTCCACTCAACCATCTCTGGCGAGGTTGCCAACGGAGCGTCTTCGTGGTGGGATGTCCACACTAACCCGGGGTCCTGGCTCGATGTGCAAAACCCCGCAGGCACCCTCCAGACCTCGCTGCACTCCGGGACGCCCCAGGCCATCCACTCCCAGCTGAGTGGCTACAACCCGGACTTCTCCTCGCTGACCCACTCGGCCTTCAGCTCCACGGGGATCAGCCCCTCCGCCTCTCATCTACTGTCCACCAGCCAGCACCTGTTAACGCAGGACGGTTTCAAAACAGTCATCCCCACGTACACAGACGCTTCTGCCGCCAACGCCATGATCTCTGGGGGCAGCTCAGGAATAAGTAGCTCCTCCAGGTCGTCCAGGCGGTACTCCGGCCGAGCCACGTGTGACTGTCCGAACTGCCAGGAGGCCGAGCGGCTGGGACCCGCTGGGGCCAGTCTGCGCAGAAAGGGACTCCACAGCTGCCACATCCCCGGCTGCGGTAAAGTGTACGGAAAGACGTCTCACCTCAAAGCGCATTTGAGGTGGCACACCGGCGAGAGGCCTTTTGTCTGCAACTGGCTTTTCTGCGGCAAAAGGTTCACTCGGTCCGATGAGCTCCAGAGACACCTGCGCACCCACACCGGCGAGAAACGGTTTGCGTGCCCAGTGTGCAACAAGCGCTTCATGCGCAGTGACCATTTGAGCAAGCACATCAAAACGCACACGGCGGGTGGAGGAGGCAAAAAGGGCAGCGACAGTGACACCGACACCAGCAACCTGGAGACCCCGAGGTCCGAGTCCCCCGAACTTATTTTGGAGGGTGTGAACCCCAGAATCAATGTCAAAGACCCGTCTCCTCACGACGAGCCCTGATGAGGCTTCGCTCCCAAAATAAAAATCAAACCACATCAAAACCTGCACAGCAATGAAAAACGGGTCTGACAGACAATACAGGAGAAAATGTACCGAGAGGCGATTACAAAGTCTGAAAAAAATATTCTCCAACAGGCGTAACGAGTAATTCAAGCGCCAGTAAATCTAAAGAATCCAGTGATTTACTGTCCGGGCCTTTGGAGACATTTTAGGGACAACTTGAAAATGAAAGGATGTTTGCTGAGGGTGCGCGGAAACCTGTTGAACTTTGGTTGGACAATGTGAGTGACATCTTGTATATTGACGACTAAAACTATCCATGTGTTATTTTCCATGTAAATGTTTGGCTCTGATTGTTTTGTTCGTGTTGGTATATCCTGGAAATCAGGGAGTTTACTTTCGACGCACTTTGTGGATATGTATGTACACAGCTTTCTTTCCCACTTTGGTTAACCATTTTTATTTCTTTG